GTTGGGCGCCGGTGTGGACACTCAACAGCAGATTGAGAAGGTGGTCGTCGTTGTTGTTGTCTTCATTTATTTATGGTTTAATGCTGTTGGTTATAATGGTGTTGATTAATGCAGGTTCGCGAGCAGCACATGCTCAGATTCAAACAGTTTCTGGTAGATGAGCTGAAGGTGTGTAACGAGGCCGAGGCCAAGAACCGCATATTCTTTATATCGGCACGTGAGATGCTCGACGCGAGGATGAAGGCGAAGGGATTGATCCATAAAGGTGGGTGGCAGTTTTGGTTACTGTTATTATTAGTGATTATTATCGTTATTATTATTTTACAGTTGTGTTTATTATTGATATTGTTGGATATTTAGCTGTTATAATTGTTTTAGCATATCAAATGGACGGTCATCAGTATCGCGCGATGGAGTTCACGAATTTTGAGTCGCAGTTTGAGGTTACTTACGTTGAATTTTTGTTATTTTTTGTTATTTATATTGTTTATATATTTATTATTTTTATTGTTATTATTGTGAAAATTGCAGCAAATCATCTCAAAGTCGGCAATCAACACGAAATTCGAAGCGCATCAGAGACGCGCGCGTGAGATCGTGGCCGCGATGCGCGCGAATATCGAGATCGTCAACAATGTGGCGGCGAAAAAACGGTATTTATTTTATATTATTTATTATTATTGTTATTATTTATAATAATTATTAAGTGTATTTATTAAAATAACTATTAATATTTAGTGAGTCGCTGGAGGAGGAATTGCGTTCGAAAGAAGAAATATTTAAGCAGTGTTATAGTAACTGGAAGGAATTTGAGAGGAACGCAATCGTCGAGGTGAAGCGCTTGAGGGCTGAGGTTATTATTTTTTATTGTTATTATTATTATTGTTATTTTTTTGTATATTACTGTTTATTATTATTATTACTATTATTATTGTTGTTTATTGATGTTACTTAAGGTGCATCTAAAAGTGTCAGCAGATTTCTACGAAGAAATTTATCGCCTGGAAGCGATAATCGATAAATTTGATTATAAATTTGTTGACGAGCCGAGGTTTATTAAGGATTATAAAAAGGTTTTTGTTTTTATTATTGTTTGTTGTTGTTTTTTATTGTTATTGTTGTTTATTTATTGTTATTGTATATTGTTATTTACTATCGTTTTGTATATTATTATTATTATTATAATTAGTATTATTATTATTGTGTTATTATTTAGAGTAATTATAAAAAATTTCAGGCT